GTATGTTTAGGGCTGATGGAAGACAACGTGTTTACCGCCGAAGGAGTGAACGAACGGCGGCGTGTTGCGTGCAGGGGGTCATACCATATGGTGGAGGGCGTGTCATGGTGTGGGGAGAGATCTGTGGGCAGGAGAGGACACCACTGGTCATCGTTGACGGAAACTTGACAGCTCAGCGTTACATGGATAACATTCTTCGTCCAGTTGTCCAACAGCAGCCACGTGATGTGATTTATCAGCATGACAACGCTAGAGCCCATACAGCCAGAATTGTCACTAACTTCCTCACAGCCAACAACGTCAACGTCCTGCCGTGGCCTGCACGCTCACCCGACATGTCCCCCATAGAACATTTCTGGGACTTGATGGATCGTCGTTTTCGACAACGACCACACTCTCCAGCTAACCGGAAAAAACTGATTTTGGCACTCTTAGAAGAATGGCGTCAAATCCCACGTGACCTCATCAGACGACTGACTTTTTCTGCGCGTCGAAGAGTTTGTGCGTGTATTGAGGCATTTGGTGGTCACACACGCGACTAATGACTTGTTATTGAACGTGAGCGATTGTTTATGTACTCTGCCTATTGTCCATTGTATGTTTTTTCGTTTATTTTAGCAAGAGTGATTTCAAACACCGGTAAAGTCTCTTTTGGACGTCAGTTTATATTGCAAACTTTTGGCAAAATGTATCGACTCAGAGCATTATTTTGAATCAGAACGTTTATACTCTCACATCGGCATATGTGTGAACCCATCACCCATTCCGTTATTGATAAACTTTATAATGATGTGCGATGAAATTAGAAGCTGTAACAGTGTGTTTTAACATTATGTCTGGTTATGTTAGGTTTCTTTTTCATAACTCGGTTTTATTTGCACGGATTACAGAGCACAAGAATTCAAAAACGTAGTCACAATTTTTATAGAAATACCTTATTAACAAACGTCATGAATTCTAGAACCACCAACAATTTCATTTTCCTATACGAACACCAATTCATAGGAACGTGTTGCAGAAAATGGACTTGGCAGCTCATGATGAAAATTTCACTACTTGTGACCGCCAAGACTCAGCAGTATCATACTGCTATCAAGCTGTAAGTCATATAATCACATATGACTTCGACAGTTGTTTAAATAGGGACTAAAGCATAATAATGCTGTCGAAGCATATGCCAAAAATGGCGCCAAAAGAAAAGAGGAACCTGCTGAACGTCTTTCAGAGTGGGTTTAGTCAGTGTGTGATGTTGTTATTGGTCAAATGACAAGACATCATCCTTCCTGAAATTTACAGAAAGACACGCACCAGACAAAACTTCCTGTTGCATGCTGCTGACAGCTGTAAAGTACTGGTAATTACCACCGAAGACCATCTCCGCGTACTTGCTGCTGCTGATGTCTACGATTGCGATGGCACCTTCAGCATGTGCCCAATCCTCCTCTACCAGATCTACACCATCCATGCTTTAGATGGAGAGATGTGCCCTCTGCTGTACGCCTTATTGCCTGATAAGAGTTCTTCACCCCCATCCAACAGAAGGGCAGATACATTAACACCAACCTTCAGCTAACCACCACCTTCACAGACTGCATCTCAGAACGCTGCACGCATCGTCTTCCAATGTCAACTAAAGGGTTGCCTTTTCCATATCCAGCAAGCCATATGAAAGAACGCGATATCCTACCATCTAAAGAAGCCTCTAAGAACGAACCCAGTGTGCACACCTTCATCAATCGAGCCTTTGCATTACCTCAGTTGAGACGTTTGGATTCATGCAAATGCAAAAAGGGACACTCCCGACCCGATCAACTTTGCTGATTACGTGACAGAACAGTGGGGCGAACGTGGCGAACGCTCCATGTGGAACCACTTGGAAACCCAAGGGCAACGTACGACCAACGGCGTAAAAGGATGACATTCCAAAATTGTGAAATTGTCAGCAATTTCACTGACTTGATAAAGAAAGAACAATCCAATGTTGAAATTTCCCTGTACCAGTTACGTTCGGGCATTTCAATACGTCCCAAAAAGAAAATGTATCGTGCATTATTGATTAGCTGGCTACTGCATTTGTGAACAAAATATGAATACCGAATGATAATTTTTTAATGAAATATAAAATAATTGCACGAATTTATAATGACATATAAATATCATCACCAGAATTATGCGATGTGAATAAAGTTGGTTGGTTGGTTTGTTGTTTAACGCCGCACTCAGCAATATTCCAGCTATGTGACTGCGGTCTGTAAATAATCGAGTCTGGAACAGACAATCCAGTGATTACTATTATGAGCATCGATCCACGCCATTGGGATCGATGACATGCTTCAACCAAGTCAGCGAACCTGACCACCCGATACCGTTAGTCGCCTTGAAAGACAAGCATAGTCGCCTTATACGACAAGCATGGGTTGCTGAAGACCTATTCTACCCCGGATCTTCACGGGTCGATGTGAATAAAGAAAATCACTATGACATTTACAATTACTAGTTATTTTTAGATGGCCAAAGACTATAGACTATGGGCCGAAACAGGCTATAACCTGATATCCTAGTGTTTATGGGATTATCACGTCTGAGTGATTTCTATAGCTGAACAATGGCGACTCGCAAAGTGGGAACCCAATGCTGAGGACAGTTAAGTTGATAGTAAAGACAGATAAGAGAGATCATTTTACAAGTGCACACCCATATTCCCCAAAGTATAAGAAATTTGAGACTTCATAGATTCACAGATAAATTATTACGCCTGCGTGATTTCTATATCTGAACAATAGCGACTGGCAAAGTGGGAGGCCAATGCTGAGGACAGTTACGTTGACGGTATAGACAGATAAGAGAGATCGTTTTACAAGTGTAAACCCTTATCACGAGAGAGAGAGAGAGAGAGAGAGAGAGAGAGAGAGAGAGAGAGAGAGAGAGAGAGAGAGAGAGCTAGTGGAAAAATTGTGGCTACTCTTGATATTGTTGATTAAATTTGACACAACAAAAAAGATGCAATATTAGAAGAAGGCTTTGGAACGGTAACAGGCGTTAATATATAGCCACGATGACATAAGTAGAACAAAGTGTGAAACAACAAGTATGTAATATGTGATAAACAATTCTCCTTTTAAGTAATTTTATCCTGATGTAAATGTAGGTACACAATCTTGCGGAATACAATCTTTAAAATTCTGGAACACTACCATATGCATACGACTAACATTGGCATCTCTGCTTGGATCGGTTTGTCAGGCAGCCTAGATATTGCTAGAACAGCCATTTGGGATTGTGACGTTATCTTTTATACATAGTCGACTACATTTTAATATTACGCAGATCACCGTAGTAGGTTTTAGGTAAGTGGCGTATGCAAATGGAAAAGGAGAATCCCAAGTCAATGTGCTCAGGTCAGATGACAAGTAGAGGGCAGAAGAAACCAATAAAAATCAATAAACACAGTTTTCTCACTTGCAAGCAATTTTAGAAACCAATATCTGCATATATTTTCTGGCAAGTCATTTTATTCAGATAAGCTGTGAATCCCGGCAAATTATTCAGTTTCAGTTATATATTAGTTTGTGTATTTGTTTGTTATATTTGACAGCGAAAGTAATATCCGTTGTTTATACTTTATTCTATAGCCGTCCCTAGGTTTGCGCTTTCCTAATATTCTTGGCTAACTTTCTCATCATTATCCATTGCGTCAGTTTATGAGAATTGCGCGTGTCAGCTTCCAGCATTTGCGACGCGCTACATCAATTACGTGAAGTAAACAATCCGCGAAATCGCACACCCGCAAAAATATTCAAAAATATTGAACAAAATATTCAACAATGCAGGAGCAGAAAGGTAGAATTCAGCACTTCCGGAAACAGCTACGTGCAGCTCGTCAAACTCCGGCCTGTATTCTAACACGCGAGAGCTGACCAATGGACTGCTGAGAAATAGAAATACCGGTAGACGCTTTTCAAGAAAAGGGAAGAGCTTGAAAACATCGTTCTCTCGCAGTAAATTACGATGTCAAATAACACCGTAATTGGATGGATAAGCTATGGTTAGAAAGCGTCCAAAAACCTAAAATGAAATAACGACGTTTTCGTGTTTGCGGTGTTTTAACGTTTTGCCCAATTTTTATTGTTGTCCGTGTGAGGTTTCTCTTTTGAAAGAGTAAATGAAACGTCAACGCAAGAGAATTATCACTCTCGATTATGTGCCGATTCCACTGGATGTCAAAGGCAAAGCAGTGGTGTAAGCTATATGAATGGATCACTGAAAATCAGTGATGACACCAGGTATTTGTGAAAAAGGTAAGCATGTCCTGTCCTACTGGTGGCAACCGCCAATCACACAATTTGCACAAAAACGTAAGCGTTAGTTTGATGCCTAACGCAGCAAAGTAGTATTCTTGCCATGCGCAACATCCTTTAAATAACCGGGTCTTGACAGACAATCCAGTGGTAGAGAAAACATTGAAAATGTATATAATGCTGATTATTACTTGTATACTTTTGAATACATAGTTACTTTGACGACCGCCTCCTTGGCGCCTCCTACTAGTAGTAGAGCGTCTGCCCAGAGAGCGGAAGGTTTGTGGTTCGATGCCTGCCACGTCATATCAAAAGACGTTAAAAACGGTACATATTGTTACCCTGCCTGGCCTAAAGGGGCTAAAACAAGGATTTGGGGTCAGTTTACTGTGTCTGAATGAGATGTTCAAGTTGAACTGCCGCATGGTATCTGAGTGGGCTAGCAATGAAATCGGCATTATTCGGACTGGTACAAGCACACGCACGTGTATGCACGTCGCTATATAAGTGGACACGACGTTAAACCCCCATTTCACCTCACCTCACCTTCCTTTGACCTGTTAATGAGATAGCAAATACATTAGTTTGATCAGGGGATTTTTGATTATTTTGTCAAGTAATCGCCAAGGATAGTTACACTAGCCTGACTGATACTATCTTTGCAGCTAGTTGAGTAAGTTTGAACATTTTGATTAAACTTACCCAAATCGTACGCAAACAAGTATTCCGTTGTCTCCAATAAAGCACTGTACAACGCCAGGGCCTCAACGCCAGCACACAGACCACCACACCTTCTTATTCGACGTATGAGCCACGGCAGGTTTACAGGTTCTATTTCAATGCATCTTTGTGTAAGATCTGCACTGAATGTTATCTGCCACACGAGAAACCCCTGTCTGCATTGTTAAGTGTGTATATTCTGAATTGGTTGAACAGTAGCAGCTCTATGCTCCAGTACATTTATGTGCAAGGGTCTCCTTGATGCAGGTGTATTGTCAGGTAGTGTGTCCCACAGTGACAAAGCCTAAGCAGAATTACGTAAAAAAATATCTGAAATATATCCCTTCATGAGAAAAAACGTTACTATCTGTTGAAATCTGGTAACTTAAAATAAATAATAGTAACATGAGCTGTGCGTTTTCTCACCACTAAATGTCACACGGGTATGCTTAAGTATGGTGAATGTTTGCCAATCACTAAAGCGGAAAACCTCTTGTGTTGTATATTTTGTACATAGGCCCCAGGTCTCTCATAGAAATATAGTTGATTGATTGAAAACCGTACAAGCTTGCGCAGTACATGTTTCATAAACTCCTTACCAAACAAGCTTGATGACACTTACGTGAGTGCTATCACTGATTGACCACCTTCATTGAAAATAAAAAAACACACGATTGACACAACCCCTTACATACGCATGTGGGATGCTGGGATGTTAAGAATTTATTTCAATAGTGAATAGTGAGGCCGAGAAGGGTGCGGGGGAGATATGATAGCAATATCTAATCTAAGTGTTTATATATATATTTTCAAAATAATACAGAGGTGGTTTTCGAGACTCAGGTTGGGATCTCCAAGTAGGAATAGCACGTTATCGAGATGCTGGGTGAGTGAGTGAGTGGGTTTAACGCCGCTTTTAACAGTATACCAGTCATATCACGGCGTGTCAGCTTAATGTGGGAGGAAAGCCCAAAGTAATGCAGGTCTAATTAAGACGTTTACCACTTCGGTGAAACCCACAAGAAAGGGTATTGTGCTGACAAACATAGAAACATAATTGGGGCGAACCGGGATTCGAACCCACAATCATAGGTTTCTGGCGTGCCCAAGGGACGCAACTCTGCACAGCGAATCGCAGCGCCTTAGACCACTGTGCCACCCGTGCCCCCTCGAGATGCTGGGTCTTAGTAGTTCTTTCTTCATACCAGGAAATGATATTTAAATAAGGTTTCTAATCTCATTACAATAAATGAAAAGATATTCTATGGTTTCAGATCCTTTATTGCAAAACGAACATAATTCATCTTCACTTGTTCCAATATTCATTTCCTAAAGAGTTAGTTGTTATCATTCTGCGGATATTTGATTTCTTGATTTATTAGCCACAGTGGATTTCTGAATCATATCAAAGCAATCTGACAGATAGTCTCCAGTTATGTCCCAGTTAGCTTCGACTCCCACTTTGCACAAAGGATATCGAGTGAGTTGGCTTGCAATTGACTTATTTATATACATATAAATTTACAATCGTTAGATAACAACATATCTGCGAAATTTTGATAATGTATATCTTCATTATTTCTTTCCACAAACTCACCCTTTACACATGTTATCCATAACTATGGGGTATGGTTAATTTGTTTGAAAAGATACGTTCCCTTCAATTTAAAGCGCCCAGTATTTGTAAAAATACCTTTCATATATCTAACACCACTTCGAAACCATATAAGAACGTGTTCAATATCCCTGGCTGGTATAACATTTAATATATTTAATATAGAGAGGGACAAGAATTCATTAATACTTTTTATTTCTGGTAACTTTAAACTGTTTTAATTTGAAAGCACATATTTCTTATTACCTTTACCATTTTTGGGTGGTATCCTTTTTGAAAGATGATAATGGTGATGTGGAATTTGTAGATTGTGTTATGTGCTCATTGCTGACATAAACCGTTTTTAGTCTATACTTTTTTTATCCATTTCATTTTCATATATTTACAGAAGTATTTCATATCAATCATTTGTAATATGCCACTCTTATAATTATTAATTATCAATTTCCTTTTAACTCTATCACATTTTCGAAACCAAATATATCGAAGTAGTAAGGAGTTATGAGTCTTGAAAATATGTTTACTTGGATTAGGTCTGGGAGGGCTGAAAAAGATGGGTAAAAAGGGGCATAATTTGGGATTTTATGTTTGTTTGTTGCTTAACGCCGCACTCAGCAGTATTCAAGCCAAATGACGGCGGTCTGTAAATAATCGAATCTGGACCAGACAATCCAGTGATTAATATCATGAGCATTGATCCACACAATTGGGATTGATGACTTGCATCAACCATGTCAGCGGGCCTGACCACCCGTTCCCGTTAGTAGCCTCTTACCACCCCCGGATCTTCACGGGTCGTTCGTTTACCTTAGGGATTAGGTGGGGAATTAATAATTTTGACCAAATACATCCTATAGCGTAGATCAAGTTTGCGATCAGCGGGATCGCCCATCCCCAATTTAAGTAACCTATAATGCGATTTCGTCACAACAATACTTATTTGAGTACTCTGTCAATTGATTCGTCTGTTTCTTTGTATACGACCCAGTATTGTGATCATCTGGAGTAACGTACAGTGTTCGTGTACCAACTCATCAGGACGTACCGGTGGTATCTTGGATATTTATATATAAGATGGTTACGCAACAAATCGCAAGTAACAATAGTGGTAGATTTTGTCTGCAATGGTGAGAACAAAGGGATTGTCCTGCCTTAGTGCAGGAATGAAAAGTCAGTGGTAAGAAAATACCCTTATCGGTTGAGTAAATTAGAAGAAGGCAAAGGGGAGGTATGCGGAGTATACACTGGAGGACGAGTTATCGTATTTCCTCTCAATAGAGATCCTTAGAGACTTAACTGCAATCAACTTTCTCATTGCTAGTAAATTGTTTTTCAATCCTGAAGCTAATAGAGAAACAGTGTTTGTATTTCAAGATGGCAATGCTACAAAAACAGACACTAGTCAATCCAATTTTCAACAACTCGTTATACCCTCAAAGATTATTGAACCCTGACATGTATTAGAGATGAACATCTATTGGAGGAAACACGGAAAGAGACCAGACGTTTCAGTTGATACTAAGAGTATTAAAATAATGTGCCATACACTCACTGTCAATGTAAACTAGATGTATCTTTAATGCTTGTCACAAGCGCAGTGCAATGTTGTGACTCCCTAGTGAACATACATACTCTTTTGACACTCATTTTCACATTGTATATATGAGGATGCACATGGTGAAGTGAATAGTTGTTGCAAAAATAAACCTGACTGTTTTGGGAAAGATACCTGAACTGAGAGACGAAGGTTAGCATTTCGTAGGTTATATGCTGATAGACAGCCACACAATCTTCAGGAGTGTGAAAATGAACCTCTTGATTGGCATTGGTATGAAGACCAATCAGCATGTTGTGATCAATGTATGACTCAATTTTCACCTGGTTATATTTCAAACTTTCCTATAGTTTGAAAGATTAATTGCATCTGGTAATTAGCCAAAAGTTCAAAGACATGTATAACATCAGCAAACTACGTTAATCTTGAGAGAATTCAACATTTATGAAAAATCGTGATTCATGACATTTCTTAATGATAAACATCCTGTGACTGAAGATACATGGAGAATACGATGGTATTTATAGTCATTAGCTTCCCACAGCAGAAGATGTGTGACTAAATATCTAGCGGGACTCCATAGTTGTAGACAGTTCCAACATGTGCCTAACAACGCATATATACATACAATACAGTTTTTGTTTTTTGTCTAATGCAGACTGAGAAGTAGGGGTTCCATCTCCTCCTGTAGGATTTGATGTATATTCTCAATGGTGGACGGAGAGGGCTCCCTAATCTGTATCAGTCTCTGACAGGCCTCTCGAGACGATAGTATCATAGGTTTCATCATTTGAATTATTGTCACTGCTAGAACTATCTGTTACTTTCCAGTTTGCCCGTCATTGTTCGAATGACGTGTCAATGACGATGGGGTCTCTTTTTAAATCCGTCTTCTAGTGGTATGTGTCCAATGAGTACATTGTGAAGAAGAGTAATGATACCCTTAAACTGTGACTTTGTTAAATGACTTATAAGCGTTCGACGTTGCAGTTTCATGTAGTAACTTTTGAAAAGCATATTTTCACTATTATTTCAGTCCTTTTATAGATAAAAGCGCATGATGTGTCTGGGAGATCAACTGCATGGGTTAGTGCTTCTTGTAAGGAGTTTATGCATGCTTCTTTAGTAAAAAACTCTATCAGTATTTATTCTTCTGATATATTCTTGTGAGCTCTGGCAGACACAATGTGAGGAATGAAGCTGACAATCTTCCAGGAGTTGATCTTGCTCATATCGCAGCTGTTACTTAACTGAAGGATATCAATGTTGAACTCTGCTCTTCATACCTATTTTCTGTAAGTAAATAAAAGGTACAAAGTTCATGAGGTAAAATACCTGTTTGGAGATTCCCTGTACTGACTAAGCTCAGGTAACTGACCATGAATAGACTGTGGTTTTAAACTGAACACGAACAGGGCGTCGCCACACTGATATTCATTTCCTTCAATAGAGCTGCCTTCATCTTCTCCCCAGGTGTTGGTACATTCAAATAACCTTCAATGTCATCTGCCTCCACAGGATAAGCCGGGACACTAACACCATCCAGGTACAGTCCTACTGTTCTAATGTTAGATCCTTGGAAGTTGAAAGGGTTTTTAGTATAGGAACCATTCACTTCCTCGCCATGCACAAATCCAACAACGAGGCGGGTGGGCCATTGGTCCAGAAACAGGTTATCATAGCTGTAAGTCATCTGTGAGGCGCTGATGCTAACCTGACGTATATCAGTTTTAGTTTTCATGTAAGGATATAGAGCATTGATGTTTTCAAACTGTTATGCATAATCAAGAATCTATGCATTGTTAATTTTCAGCTTACAAACTTTTGAGTACATATATTTAGAATAATTGTGTTCTCTTTCCTACTAGCCCGACACATAAATTGAAATTGAGGTGTGTGTGTGTGAGTGGGTGGGGGGGGGGGGGGGGGGGGGGGGGGGGGATCTG